GAACACGCAACCTTCTGATCTGGAGTCAGACGCGCTACCGTTGCGCCACCGAGTCTTGGATGCTTCCGACATTCTGCGATTGAGTGCTAAATTGCTAAGGGAGATAAAAATTGAAGGCCACGTTAACAATCTCATTTCTGCCTCTTATATTGATAGGATCAGGAATGATATTTGACAAATGTACAGTTCTTTGGCTTTACGTAAAAGTCTAATGTTATAACTTATTTATATTCATGGTCGTGCACTTCTTACGAAGAGAGCAAAAAAGGTAAACGTGCCATGGATTATTACAGTATAGCATACTGCTTCATAGACATCTGCATGAGCATGCCCTACGATTGCGGCACTAGTACAAAGCCCTTTTTCTCTCTCTCTCATTCTTTCCTGTCAAGTTTTACATGAATTTCGAGTCCCACAAACTACGAAATTAGCAAGGTCGGACTAACAAGATATTTTTCTTAGTAATCTTTTGTACAAATTCCTTTTCTAAAGAAGAGCAAAAGGAACGTGCACACATTGACCCGGACGCGATTCGAACACGCAACCTTCTGATCTGGAGTCAGACGCGCCACCGTTGCGCCATCGAGTCTTGGATACTTTCGACATTCTGCGATTCAGTGCGAAATTGCAAAGGGAGATAAAAATTTGAAGATAATTAAACAACTACCAGTTCTTTTTACCACCATTGTATCTTTTAAAAGCGCAGACTATGTAGAAAATTTATAAATGAAACGCAACTGTTTTTCACAAGCTTCCTTTTCTGGAATGTGATAATTTTTGTATTAGAAACACTCAGGCAACATAACGTTATTGCAGATGAAAGTCGTGAATTTGGTTTTCAGACAAATGATGAGGATGGAAACTAGCCTTGACTTTTGAATCATAAAAAAATTTTCTCATTTGTCAATTTTGAGCTTAGCCAAATTTAACGTAATTCAATACATCGGAAGCAAATTTCTTAATGGAACCATACTGAAACGCGGACTACTGGAGAAAAACCAAAAAATTGGAAGTTTAGAAAATTATTGTTTCAGAAATAGAGTAAATTCACATTGTTTCTTAAGACGGAAGTAAAAAAAAAAAAGAAACCAATCCAACACTTTTTGACCCGGACGTGATTTGAACACGCAATCTTCTGATCTGTAGTCAGACGCGCTACCGGTGTGCCACTGAGCCACGTTAACAATCTCATTTCTGCATATTATATTGACAGGATCAGGAATGATATTTGACAAATGTACAGTCCTTTGGCATTACGTAAAAGTATAATATTATAACTTATTTATATTCACGGTCATGTGCACTTCTTACGAAGAGAGCAAAATAGGTATAGGTGTCATGGATTCTTACATTATTGAATACTGCGTCATATACATTTGGATGAGCATGCCCTATGATTGCGGAACCAGTACAAAGCCATTTTTTTCTCATTCTTTCCTTTCAAGTTTTACATGAAATTCGAGTCGCAGAAACTACGAAATTAGCAAGGTCGGACTAACAAGATAATTTCCTTAGTATAATGTTTTTAACAAATTCCTTTTCTAAAGAGGAGCAAAATGAACTTGCACACATTGACCCGAACGTGATTCGAACACGCAACCTTCTGATCTGGAGTCAGACACGCTAACGTTGCGCCACCGAGTCTTGGATGCTTCCGACATTCTCAGATTCAGTGCGAAATTGCAAAGGGAGATAAAAATTTGAAGATAATTGAACAACTACCAGTTCTTTTTACCACCATTGTATCTTTTATAAACGCAGACTATGTAGAATATTTATAA